GTGTACTACTCAGCCATAAAGAATGAGAAACTAGAGACATTTATAGCTAAATGCATGCACATTGAGGCCATACTCTTAAGTGAAATAAATAGGACACACGTGTAAATACTGAATAGTTTCTCTAGTGTGAGACACTAAAGGTGTAAATAAGGATCAAAATGTATAATAGACAATGTGAAATAGGAAGAAAAGGGGGAAAGCGGATGGGGAAGTGGGAGGGGTAGGGGAATAGAAAGAAGGGAAAGAAATAAATATAAGACAAGGAAAAAATGGAAATAAAGCCTTTGTAAATAGGGAGGGGTGGCAAATGAGGAAAAAAAGGGAGGGCAGGGGAATGGGGAAAAAATAAGAGCCAAGATATATTATGTAAAGGTACAAATTTCCAATAACTGATGTCAGGATATTATATACCTAAAATGTACCAATAAAATTAATAAAAAAAAAGATTACTTATAAGTTTGTTTGATCTGTTTTCCTAATATGAGCGTTGATTGCAATGGACTTCCCTCTTAGGACTGCTTTCATAGTGTCCCAAAGGTTTCATTGAGTTGTAGAGGTATTGTCATTAACTTCTAGGAACTTTAAAATTTCTTCCTTGATTTCTTTTGTGATCCACTGGAGTGTGTAATTTATTTTCCAGGTGCTTCTACCTGTTTCATGATTTCTTTTGTATTGATTTCTTTTTTCATTGCACTGTGATCTGACAGTATACACACAGGGTGATTTTGATTCTTTTATATTTATTTAAGCAGGCTTTGTGGGCTAGTACATGTGATCTATTTTGGGGAAAGTACTGTGTGCTACAGAAACAGTATTCCAATAAGTGTGTGCTCTGTTGCAGTGGGGTGGAATACTCTGTAGATATCTATTAAGTCCATATTTTCAAGGGTGTGGTTCAGCTCTGATGTTTTTATTGCTTTTCTGTTTAGTTCATTTATCTCTTCATGAGACTGGGGTGTTAAGATCCTCCACTATGATTGTTAGTATTTGTTTGAAATTTTATGTTCAGCAGTATTTGGTTTATGATGATAGCTGCTCCAGTATTTGGTGTATAAATATTTATGACATCTTTTCTTGTTGGATTGTTCCCTTAACTAATATGTTGTGATCTTCTTTGTCTGTTCTAATAAGTTTTAACTTTAAGTTTACATTGTCTGAGATTAAAATTTCTATCCCTGCTTCTTTTTGGAGTCCTGCTACATGAAATATTGTTTTTCATCCTTTAATTTTTAGTGTATGGATATCTTTTTGGATTAGATGAGTTTCTTGAATGCAGCATACTGTTGGATTTTTTTAAATCCAGTCTCCTAAGCTCTGTCTTTTAATTGGAGAGTTGAGTCCATTAATATTGAAAGATATTACTGAGATTATTTACTATCATTGCATTCTTTCTCTGTTGGTGACTCTTCTGTTTTTCTTGTCATTTTTTGTTGTTGTTTATCCACTGACCTTGCTTGGTGTTTTCATTTCATCTAAGTTTTTAACTTTATTGGTTTTATTGTTTCTGCCTAGGATATTTTTGCATGTTTTCTGGAGTGCTGGTTTCATAATCATTAAGCTCTTAAGCTTGTTTTTTTTTTTTAATTTTTCATTGAATGTTTTTATTTTTCCATCTATTTGGACGGATAGTTTTGCTGGATAAGTTAATCTGGGCTGGAAGTTGTTTGCTATTAGGGTTTGAAATACTGCACTCCAAGCTCTTCTGGCCTTTTAGATTTGTGTTGAGAAGTCTGCTGTAATTCATTGGTTTACCATTATATGTGATTTTTTGTTTTTCTCTACTGCTTTAAAAATTCTGTTTTTATAAATCTGGCAATTTATAGGATATACCTTGGTGAGCTTCTTTTTCATCATAGTTGTTTGGCGTTCTGTAAGCCTCACTTGTATTTTAAACTCTTTTCTCCTATTTGGAAATTTTTCTACTACAATTTCTATAAACATATTAATAACTCCATCTGTGTTATCTTCTAGCATTTCTGTAACTCCAGTAAGTCTTAGATTCGTCTTCCTGGTCTCATCTAGTAGCTGCTGGATTTCTTTTTTTTTTTTTTTGGTGGCTTCTTTGAATACTTCTTCATTATTTGCCATTTTCCTCAATTTTAGACACTCTATCTTCATATTGGTCATTTCTGAAATTTATGAATTCTATACAATGTTTTATTTCAGGTATTTCTGCCTGAAATATTTTCAAGGATCTTATATCCTTGTTGAATATATCATGCATATTTTGCATTGTTTTCATCAGCTCATCCAATTTTTTTACCTATTTTGTCCAAATCCACCTTGGGCATATTGAGTGATAATGCCATGAGTTTTTGGTTCATTTCCTCTTTGAACTCGTCTAGTTTCTTCATCCTTTCTATAAACTTTTTGTAGAGTTCTGCTACCTCTCTGTTTGTGCCCCCTTGCTCTTAGGAGAGTTGGGAGACCTTGGGAGTATTCTATTGCCTTGCTTCTCCATGATCCTGTGTGTATGTATATCTGGTTTTTATTGTTTATGATCCCCAGGAACCGCAGATATTTGCAGAGAGAGAAAACCAGTTGTTATTCACTACTATGTTACCTTGGCTGTAGTAGTAAATTCAATGGCATCACATGCCAACTGGATATTGCCAAATCCCAGGAACCACTTATGGGCATCCCCTAATCAGAACTAAGAGGACTATGATTTTAGTGCACACAGACTACCCATATAATAGTCTATAATACTTTAGACTACTAGTTTCTGCTGAATGTAGGCAGGAGTGCCAGGTTCAAAGATACCAGTAGACTAACTACCCTCTCTTTCAGGACCACCCAATCTGATGATTTCACCCTCAAAACCTGGCCTCAATGGAATGCAGGCCCTGTGAACTTCCTGATCTGATCTCAGGTCTCCCAAGAAATCTCAGGAGATCCCTATTTAGCTCTCCCCCTCTCAGGAGACAAGCCTGTCTCCCAAGATTTCTCTCACCTGGTCTCTGTGGTAGGGCAATACTTCAGTCCTGAAGTGAAACTCCCCTCTTGGGTGTTGGTCTCTTCTACAGTCAGGTGGGCCTGTTGGTTAATACCTCTGTTGCCCAGTAATAAAGAGATCCCAAGAGCAGCCTCTGGCATGTGCTCATCCAGTCAGTCCTGGGGTCCTCCCTCAGCTGGGCGCATGAGCCCCAGTGTGCAGCTAGGGTTGGGCAGAACTGAGCTTTGTATGATACAAAGGCAAGACTTCCAGGTTTTCTTAACGTGGAGGAAAATCGCAGAAGTATGACACCATGAGACTGGAGCATTATATTTGTGCTCGCTTATGGTATGTTAAAACATCCCCAAAGTTTCAGTGGTTTATGACAAGAGACTTTATTTCTCATTCATATTATATTTTGGCTACAGGTTGACTGTGGCTCTGCTTTAATATTGTCTTCTTTCTGGAGTGATCTGTATCTGGGATGTGCCCCACTTTTTGTAGCAGTGTTGGATAGCTCTTATATATCCTGTATGTCAATTTTCCTCCAATTTTATTGGGCACAACAAATAAAGCTGTCCTTTAACAGGGACCATCACTTCAAATCACCTGGCTATGGGAGGGGCTATGTCATGTGACAAAGAAAGGTGGCAAGGAATAGAAACTGCACAGAGGCGGTTTCCTGAAGGAAGATTGAGTATAACTCTAAAATTCAGTCACATCATTCTAACTAGTGACAACTGAGTGAGTTTACAATGGATTAATTAGCATGTGACAAAGCAACAGTAACTTTGGAATAAAAACGTATATATCTTTAACCGATACTTAATATCCTAGAACAATGGTGGTGAACCTATGGCATGCATGTCATTTTTTTGTTTTTGGTACCAGGGATTGAACTCAGGACCTTGCACTTGTGAGGCAGGCGCAGTGCCACCGAGCTAAATCCGCAGCCCACGTGTCATAGGTTTTTAAGGCAAAAGATGTTAACGTATGAGTTGTTTTTTCTAAACCAAAACCTCAGTGTTCGGGTTTAGTTGCAGTGTTGGCACTTTGTCATAAATTAGTGGGTTTTGGGTTGCAATTTGGGCACTTGTCTCTAAAAGGTTTGCAGTCACTGTCCTAGAAATTGGGTGTAGCCCAGGTGACAAGGAACTTGAGGAACTTCTCAAGCTATATCGACTACCCCTCTTGAGTAAATCCTTCCTATTTTCTGAGACCATTTGAGGCACCATTAGTAATAGTCATGGACAGGTTACACCAGGATATTAAGCCAGGCTCCCTTCCCTACTGCCCTAGAATGTTAATTTTCAGCAGCCATAGCCACCTGCTAATAAACTCCCGCAGCAGTTATTTCAGGGAAGTTCTAACTTCACACCCAGGGTTCCAGGATCTACATTTTCTCTGGTAACTAATTATTAGCCTCAGCAGGCCATGAAAAGCTCTGATTGATAGCAGAGGGCTCTCAATGTCCTGGGACCAAATTCTACACAAGACTAAGAGGCCATTGGTGTAGGGTGTGTGTTTCCATCCCATTTTATGAGATGTGATAATCTACTTCTATTTAGGACTAAGAATATTTTGAGCAATAAAGCCTTTTGAGTTTAGAACAGTTAAAATACTGATGGTGTATTTTTATAAAGTAAAATAATTTTAAGCTGCTATATACATGCTAAATACAATGTAGTTTTGGGGTCCTGAGAGTTGATTTTTTTTTTTGAGGAGTCAAGATTTAATAGCTTTATGGTCAACAGGCACCCCATGAAATTGGGACCAAGAAAAATAGTTAACCTAGCTATCAATCAGACTTGATCACATTCATCCTAGGGAATTTGTACCTGTCTCACCTTCTTGTGTTTGATCTGTTCTCTTGTGGAGGGCTGAGAATCTAGAGCTATGGATATTATAGTTGGCATTCTTAGGATTCATCCTAATAGTTGATGTCCTGGGTCATATCCCTGTCCAGATTTCCATTCTGGCTGCAAATACTAACATTTATCTGTCGACACTGAGGGCAAGCCTGAAACTTTGCTGGTGTAACTGATGGAGCACTTGTCTTTCCTAGGCTGAGCGTCAGGCCATCAACACAACAGTCCAAGGATCCGCTGCTGATATAGTCAAAATAGCCACAGTTCACATTCAGAAGCAATTAGAGACCTTCCATTCAGCCTTCAAATCCCACAGTCATCGGGAGAGGATTCTCCAAAGTGACACAACAGGTTTGTTCATCAGTGAGGGCCCTCTTCTAATATAGTGAAAATAACTGTCCGAAAAAAGAGAAATAGTTTATATTTTATTTCTCAGAAGTTCTCATGAAGTATTTATAATTTTGGAAGTTATTAAAGATCTGTCAAGAATTATTGTTTATGTGGGTTGTGTCTACTGTATATTAGAAATTAAATAGGGAGGGCTGGGGATTTAGCTCAGTGGTTCTGCCACCTGCCTTGCAAGCGCAAGGTCCAGTGTTTGATCCCTGGTACCAGAAAAAAAAAAAAGAAATTAAATAGGGAATTTTAAAACTCATTAACGTTTAAAAACATTAATAAACCCACCACATTTTAACATAAGTAACATGTTTTTATGAAAATATATCTTTACAGAACAAAAGAAAATTAGTGATGGGTGACTTTTACATTTCTTCAAGTCTCTTTAATTCTTGGCCTTAGGAAAGAAGCTAGAGTCTCTACTCTGTGTATGCATCAATTCTTTGTAGTATCATGTGTCCTGTGACCTCTGGAAAGTCCTTTTAAAGTCTAGGGTGTCACAGGTCCCAGCTTGGGGGAGACTGATATGCTTCTCATGATGTGGGAAGCTTCAGTCCTAACCCAGGATGACTAGTTACTGTACACTTTTGAGATAATGACACTGAAAAGAACAAATAATTTGAGTGTTACTCTGTAATTTTGACTCTGCAGTTCTAGGATCCTCTATGACCTTAGGTCAGTACAGGAATATGTTGATTTTCCTATGTATTTATGACCTTCAGTAGTCTCTGAAATCTGGGAATGCACTCTTGAGTTGACCTCATCATCACATAAGTTCTATTACCATCTTTTCTTGCTCATTTTTTTTCAAAAAAATTTCTCTAAGTTCTCTTCATATTGCTTAAATTATTTCTTGTCCTAACAAGTACATAGAACTTTTTTCCCCTTTTATCACGTCTGTACTTTTGCTTTAAATACCATTTCACAGTTCCTGGGATTATCAAACCATGACTACAGCCATGCTTTAAATTTTCCCTGTAGGAAGTTAAGGAGGGTTGAGGCATCCAGGGGAAGAATAAGAGGCTGGGGATGGGCAGAAATGATACAGATCAGCAGACGAGGCTGGGATTTGCTATTTAAGAGACATATGTGTAGATTACAGAGACTAATGTAGCCAGTTATATAGGTATAATAATGGGAAAGTTAGAAGTAAAAGTTATCAACCCACATTTAAATTTAAAATATTCTCAAAAGGGGAAGAGAGATACCATACATGATTGGAATATTTACATACTGTCCACAGCAGAGTGATGTGTCAAAATGAGGGTGTAGACCAGTGATGGCAAACCTTTTAGAGCTTTCAGTGATAACAAAAGGCCTGCTGCAGCATGTGTGTCATAGGTTTTCCACCACTGGTATAGACAATAACATTTTTGTTTTTACAATAACAATTTTAAGAATGAGTGGAAGGCAATGTGGCTGTGTCATTTAGAGTGACTTCGTGATGTCATGCTGCGTTAGAGGTAGACTCAGGTCAGGGGATATAAGGGAAGTGAACTCAAGGAGACAGAGCATACAGGGAACAAGAAGATCATGGCCTATGGAGTCAGAAGCCAGATAACTAGGGGAAAGTAGGAGCACAAAGCTATGGTGATCAGAAAGGAGAAAAGCTAGAGTGTCCAGGCAATCAGTGGGGTGCAACAAGTGAGGCCTAATGGTGCAGATTAGATCTTAGCTAAACTGGCAAACAGATGAAGAACCTTGCCACAGAGTGAGAGCTACCTCAGCACACTTGGGCTGGAGACAGTGACAGTGCAAGGACGCTGGTAAGAAAGCAGCAGATATTGAAGGAGATACTACTTGGGCTGGCCATGAAGGGTAAGTCAGAAATCTGGATGGTAGGAAGGAAGGACTGCTACAAGGTATGGGAAGAGCAGGTACTCTACAGGTATTCATTTTGGACCTTATCTTGTGATCAGACAGCTGTGGTCTGTCCACTATGCCCAGCTAGTTAGGAAATGGTACAGGAGATCTTTACCATTTTAAAAGTCATGGGTTCTTTTGAGAATCCACTGAAAAGTATGGATCATCATCACAGGAAAATGTATAGACACTTCAATTCACAGATGCTCTGAGGTCCACATATGGATACTAGGTTTAGAATTACTTGGCTAGAGAATATGATCCCACTGAGGAAGCACTAGTTCTACCATAGTGAAGCTTCTAGTCATACAAAGATATGAGAGAATTCCCCTTTACAAATCACTGTCTAACAACATTAGCTTACTTTCCTCCAGCAGGAATCAGGCTCCCTGACACACTAGTCCTATGATTCATACTATGGTAGGGGACTCCACGGAAAGAGAAAATGTTGATTGTTTATGAAAAATAAGACTTGAGTTCAGAGCAGAGCTCTTTGTACCCTAATTACTGACTTCTTTATTAGATTCCTTTCTAGGAGGGAAATTGTTGAGGATTTGAGTTTATCTGAGGAAGGCTATGAAGCAGCCAGCTAGTAGTTATTTCCAAAAGAGATCTAAGTCTTATGTGTTTAATCTTGTAGTTAACATTTCCTGACCTATGTCAAATCTCTAAAAATACAAAAAAAATTCTCCTGTGTCATAGTGATATGCTGCTCACTTTTGCTATTGCTTTATGGGGTAGGATTATTACCGAAGAGAAAAGTACAAGGGATGTTCTGCCCAATCAGAGGAGGCTTCTTCATCCTTCAACTCCATGATGAACTTTTATATGAAGTAGCAGAAGAGGATATTGTTCAGGTATTTTCACAGTGTGTGTTCATTCTGTAGAAAGCTAGAGCACCATGGTTCAGGCTGCAGTCCCTGCAGGAGGATTCTGGAACCTTACCTTTCCCACAGGGTGGCTGTATAAATATTGCATCCTTACTGGTAAAGAAGGAGTTAAGAGTGCTTGGTTTTATACTTTAAGTATAGAAGTTCCTGATGTGGGGATATTTTTGTCCTATGGAAACTAGGTAAAAATGTGGGGTCCTGTCCTGAGGATTTCCAAGCTCTGAACATTCTAGCTAAAGCTGTCAGAGCTCCTGCTCATTAGCGAAGGGCAATTTGAGATGCTTTTTGATTGGGCTTTAAACATCATCAGATGAAGAACTGCAGTCTGTTTTATCACCTTCTCAGTGGGTGGGTTGGCAAGCATCTTTTGGTTTGTTAGCGGTTAACTTCACTTCATTTTTTTTTTCTTCTTGTAGGTAGCTCAGATTATCAAGAATGAAATGGAAAGTGCCATAAAACTTTCCGTGAAGCTGAAAGTGAAAGTGAAAATAGGTGCCAGCTGGGGAGAGTTGAAGGACTTTGATGTATAATTGTGCAGCTGACCAGGGTCTCCTGGGAAGAAGCCTGATGCAGATAAAGTCAGCAGGAAAGAAGAGAGACTGCCCTCTCACCTGTTCATGAAGACAAACTCTTTAAGTCCTGATGGATATAGGACAGAAATCTATAGTAAGAGTTTCAAAATGTCTATCAGGATCTGTTCCTTTCAGTGTCAAAAAAGATGTTGGAGGAAGAGGTGGAAGTGAAGTACCAAATTTAATGCTTATATTCACTCTCAAAGAGTACCTGTGAATTTGTATCCATGAATTTCATAATTTATTGTGCCTTTAAACAGGTTCAGAACATATGCTTGACATACGCACTTAGCACTTCAGGTCCTTATCTGTCTGGGTTGAACATGAAGAAAATAGAGCTGCCACCTCAGGGCCATTTCCAGTCTTGTCCAGGAAGCAGGCACTCATGATAGAGCCCCAACAGGAGCCACAGGCAGAGAAGGATTTGGTTTCACATATACCACCAGCGTTAGGAGTGGTGTGTGATCTTTTTCCTTCAATATTAAGACTTCTGAGATAACTTTGGCTACCATAAGGTAGTATGACCTAATATGGATGGAGTCCATTTCCATGAAATGTTTCTTACTCCTTTTTCTTCCCCAGTTCATACAATGGAAATATTTGGAATATTTATATATTAAAAATGAGCTAGACCTTTTCAAGAGGTGTCCTGTTACGTGAGATATTTATTGCAGGTGAACATGATACTGCTAGGTAAGGAAAGCATCCCTTTGTCAGCCCCTTAGTGCCTTTGTCTGCGCTTGTGACAGTAATTTTCATGCTGAAAAGACTGAACTTTGTAATCCCAGTCAGAGGTGTAGAACTGACCTTTTTGCTGTTGAAATAAAATGAATTCATGAGAAACTTTATATCAGTGGTTCAGTTTGTTAAAAATGTGTATTTGGTATTTTTAAAAAATTGTATTTTGTATCAAGAAAGTGTGTTCCATGTTTACTTTTTGCATAGCTTGATCAAAAGTCTGAGCATGTAGGAAATGTTTATTATATTTAATTACCTATAAGAAGAAATAGCAGAAGATCCCTAATATCAGGGAAGCCATGGACTACAGGAGTACGTGGACTATAGGAGGCTTATAGAATCCCAAATAGACTGTTCTGAAAAGATCTTCATCATGACCCAATTATGGCCAAACTGTCAAAAGTACAAAAAAGATAAAGAAATTTTTTTGTTTTTTTGAGGCAGGGTGTCCCTTTGTAGTTCAGGCTGGCCCTGAACTTACTATGTAGCCCAGACTGGCCTCAAACTCAAGGCAATCCTTCTGCCTCAGTCTCCCAAGTGCTGGGATTACAAGCATGTGCCACCACGCCCAGCAGTAATTTTTAAATCTGCGAGAGAAAAAAAATCTGCAAGAGAAAAGCAGAAGTCGCACTTAAGGACAGCTCCCTTCACTAACAGCAGATTTCTCAGTAAAAAACCTTACAAATCCCCTGGGAGGGAATGGAATATTGTAATGTTTCAAATTCTGAAAGAGAACTGTCAACCAAGATTGCTATACCCAGCTGGGCTACTCTTCAGAAATGAAGGATAAATGAAAGACCTTCCAAGATAAGAAAATCTGAGGAAATTCGTGACCACTAGATGAGTCTCACAAAAGATGCTTCAGGAAATTCTATTTAAAGATGAACTAATATAAGTGCTTTTCAAATTATTCAATATGATTGAAAGGGTGGGAACTCTTCCAAACTGATTCTATGAGGACAGCATTACCTTGTTACCAAAACCTGTCAAGGATACAACAACAAAAAAGAAAACTATAGGCCAATATCCCTGATAAACATAGATGCAAAAACCCTCAACAAAACACTAACAAATTTACTTCAACAGCACATCAAAAATATTATACACCATGATCAAATTAGTTTCATCCCAAGGATGCCAGGATGGTTTGCCATATGCAAATGTGATATATCACATAAATAGAATGCTGGATAAAAATCATATGATTATCTCAATAGATGCAGAAAAAGCTCTTGAAAAAATCTGACATTCCTTCAATGATACAAGCCCTGAACAAATTGTATAGAAAGATCAAACCTGAAGATAATAAAGGCTATGACAAATCCACAGCCAACAATACTGAATGTGGAAAAACTGAAAGCATTTTATGTAAAATTGGGAATGAGACTAGGGTTCCACTTACCAGTCTTATCCAATTTGTACTAGAAATTTTAGCTAGAGCAATTAAGCAAAAGAAAGAAGAGACATGCAACTAGAAGGGGAGAAAGTACAATTATCACCATTTGCACATGGTATGATTCTATACATGGAAAAAACTGAAGGCCACAGGAAGATTATTTGAACTGATAAAGTAGCAGTATACAAAATCAACATACAAAAATAAGACTTTCTGTACACCAATAATGAATGTGGTAAATCATGAAAGCAATCCCATTCGTAATAGGAACAAGCAAAACAGAAAACAAAACCAAACAAAAAGAACAACAAAATAAATATAAACAAAATCCCTAGGAATAAAATTGACTAAGGAAGTGAAAAACCTACAATGAAATTGATAAAATATTGATGAAAAAGACTGAAGATACTAAAAGGTAGACCTCCCATGTTCATGGATTTGAAGAACTAATATTGTTAAAAAGTCCATACTTCCCAAAGCAATTCAAAGATTCAATTCAATCCTCATCAAAGTATCAATGACATTTTTCACAGAACCAGAAAAAAAATCCCTAAAATTCATATGGAAACATAAAAGACCTCAAATAGCCACAGCAATCTTAAGCAAAAAGAACAAAGCTGGAGACATCACAGTACCTGATCTTAAGACACATTAGAGCCAAAGTAACGAAAAAGCAAAGCACTGGCATAAAAAACAAACATAAAGGCCAGTGAAGCAGAATAGAAAACCCAGAAACAAATCCATTCATCTACAGTCAATTGATGTTTGATAAAAGCTACAAAACATATACTAAAGTCAGACTCTTCAAAAATGGTGCTGGGAAAAAGAAATAGACAAATGTCAAAGACCAAAACTTGACCCCTACTTCTCACCCTGCACCAAACTCTCATTAAAGGTCAGAAGGTCTTAACACAAGATCTGAAACTTTGAAACTACTTGAAGAGAACAAAGGGTGGGCACCCCAAGAACACAGGAAACAAAATGTAAAAATTCACAAATGGGATTGCATCAAATTAAAATTCTTCTACACAACAAAGAAAATAATCAGTAAAGAGACAACTTACAGATGGGTAGAAAATGTTTGCCAGCTATTCACCTGACAGGGTTAATATTCAGAATATATAAAGAACTAAAAAGTTTAATAAACAGTAACTTGATTTAAAAATGGGCAAATGATCCAAATAGACACTTTTAAAAAAGAAGAAATACAACTAGTCTATTAGTACATGAAAAATGTCCAATATCATTAGCCATCTGGAAAATGCAAATCAAAACTATAGTGAGAGACTATCTCACTGCAGTAAAATGGGTATTATGAAAACAACAATAACATATGCTGGTGAGGATGTGGAGAAAAACTGTTATACACTGTTCATGGGCATGTAAATTAATATAGCCACTATGGGAAACAGTATGGAAGTTCCTCAGAAAATTAAAAATAGAACTACCATATGTTCCATCTAATGCACTCCAGGGTATATATCCAAAGGAAACAAAGCCATCATACAAAAAGATTCCTGCAGTGAACATGTTTATTGTGACACTGCACAATAGCTAAGATAGAGAATCAGCCTAGGTGCCCATCAACAGAAGAAACATGCAGAAAATATATCATATATACACAATAGAATATTACTTGCCCATAAAGGCAAATGAAATCCTGTCATTTACAGAAAAATAGATGGAACCTGAGGATATAATATTAAACAAAATAAGCCAGACACAGAAAGACAATATCACATCTCTTGTGGAAACTAAAAAAGTGAAACAAAATAAAAACAAAAATTCTACAATAGTGATTACTAGGGACCGGGAAGGGTGCTGGGAGTGGGGAAGAAGGGGATAAGGATAGAAGAAGGGTGGATGGATATGTTCAATGTACACTGTATGTATGTGTGAAACTATAACGGAATGCCATTAATGTGTACAATTATACATTAAACATACACATTTTCCTAAAACAAAAAGTTGAACAAGAAATGTGCTCCTTTAATTTCCAGGGTTATAATACAAATCAATAATAGAGAACCTGTAATAAAATATTACTCCATCTTTGAGATTTTAACCCCATCTCTTCCATTTTCCCTTCTGCCCCATATCAGGGTAAACTAAGAAGCCTAAATGCTTCCTTCTTTACAACCAGGGCTATTTTTGAACCACAGAAGCCTCTTCCTGCAAACCCTGGAGACCCTCTGACCAGAAGAGAAACCGCTAGCCAATCTCTTTTCCTTGTTCCCTAGAAAGCCTTGTGATATGAATGATATACCTTTTTTATGTTCTTCGAATCTGTGTGGTGTTATCTATCTCAACATCTAAAACCAAATTGTGTAGGGGGCCGTGGTGGTCCAGTCTCTTTCTGCAGCAGGGCCATAACACAACTATTTAGAGAAAAAATTGTCAGAAAATATGAACAAACAAGTTACAGAAAAGGAAATGGAGTAATTAATCATAGACATGTATAATTTCACTAGTAATCAGAAAATTCCAATTAAAATAAATACCATTTTTGTCTTTTATATTGTGAAAAATAAAAAAGATTAAAATTTGAGAAGAGGCAAGGATGAAAAGACACAGTCATTCTTATACCCTGGTGGAAGAAGAGTGAATTTAATTACCAATGTCTATTTAAAAGGTTGAAATGAGCATGCTCTTCGATTCAGCAATTCCACTTCACATTTTCCTTAGAGAAATGGTTGCACATTTGGAAAATGAATGTACAAATATTCAATGCAGTCTATGTATATCAAAAGATTGGAAAATATTTACTAGTAGAGGAAACTATTAGCACAAGAATGGTAACAAAATTATGGTTTATTGACACTAAAGAATATAGTGAATTAAAATAATCACAAGTACTTTCCTGGGCAGATAATCTAAGACATAGTAGGTACATGCAACATAGTTGGTTGCAACACAGAAAAATGTTTGAAAAGCACAGCAAACTAATAACTAATAACTTTAGATAGAAGTAAGAGATGACCAAGAGAAATATTTGCTTTATCTCATCTAAATTTATTATTTGGCTCTTGCAAATATGCATTCATGGATTATTTGTTTATTGAAAACATATTTTTAAAAAGTTAATGGCTAGATTCCCGAACCAGTTCACAGAACCATCCTTTGAGCTGTCCATTTGCTAAGACAGAAGACAATGTCACTGAAATGCAAATAATACAATGTTGTAAATATTACTTTATTTCTAAATAATTTCAAAACTAAAAAGTTTTAAGAATAGTGCAAAGAATCCCAGTTCAGTGAAAGTAGTTTCTTAAATTGCTCCAATTGTGTCATTTATAGCAAAAGTCCAGTCCAAGATCATAGTTGCACACAGTTCTCATATATCTTGCCTCCTTAAATGTGGAACACCCATCTTTTCTTGACTTTTAGGACACTGAAAAGTTTTAATACAAATTTTATAGCATGTCACTCAATTTAGTTTTCTCCAATATTTCCTCTAGATTAGGCCCAGATTATATTTTGGTAGGAATATCACAGAGGTGATGCTATGTTCTTACAAGCAGCACGTGATGTTGATTTGTTCGATATTGGCCGAGGGACTTTGATCATTTGATTAAGAGAGTGTCTGCCAGGTTCCACTAGTGTAAAAGTACATTTTCTTTTATGATTGACAAATTTTGGGGGGAAGATACTTTGGGACTATGCAAATCATCCCTCATTAGCTTTAGCGTCTAGTATCCAAATTATTATTACCCTGGTTACCAAATGGTAATTTTAAAATTCCACTCTATTGTAAGGAATAGCTTTCTTTTCTTATTTGTACCAGCATGGGCTTATTTTCAATACTCGAATTATTCCTGATTTGGCCTAGGTAGGTAGGCTCTTTAAAGCTGGCTCATGTATCTTTCTGACATGTACCCATGTTTCTTTGAATATTTTATTTTCTGGCACAAGGGTATGTTTTAGTGTTCAGCCATTTCTTCAAGAAGCTCTGGCTTGCTTAGCAGGGAAAGATACTTGGAAATAGAAATCCAGGTAACTAGTGCTAATTGCTTCTGGGGAGGAGGGATTGCTCCTTGTCTTCTCAGTGTTCAGAATTAGGAAATATGCACATATATGCAACACACACCTTTATATCACGTATATGTATGTAAACTATGTAGATCAATCTATCTATCATTTTCACTGATAGCCCCATTTAGATCCAACACTACAAGATTTATTTTAGCTTTCCCCTTTTAAAAGTTTTATTACTTTAATTTTACACACACATATATATAATTTTATGTATAAATATATATTTGTGAGGTATAATGTGATGTTTACATACATGTATACATCACACAATGATTAAATTAGGCTAGTTAACATAGTCATCACAACTGTTTATCATTTATGAACATTTTAAAATCCTCTCTTTTAGCTATTTTGAAAAGTAAGCATGAATTTTAGTCACCTGTGCAATAGGACAGCAACTTTTTTTTTTTTTTTTTTTTGGTTTTTTGAGGCAGGGTCTCCCTTTGTACTTCAGGCTGGCCCTAAACTCACTATGTAGCCCAGGCTGGCCTCAAACTCACAGTGATCCTCCTGCCTCAGCCTCCTGAGTGCTGGGATTACAGGTGTGCACCACCACGCCCAGCAGGACAGCAGGACTTTTGAGTTCTAGCTTTCCCTTTTAAGTGCACTTTTTTCTCCATCAGTGAGGAAACCAGCTCCCCTGTCGTAATTTTGCTCAAGTGCTCAATCCCTTGCATGTAGCCACTTGCCTGATCCCACCATGTTGCCTTCCCTGCTCCAATGTAGACCTCGGACTCCATTACTGACCACCTATTTGCTGACCCTGCCACCTCACTCCAACTCTGTCCTTCTGAGGGCTGTCCCTCTCATCCTGCCCCAGTGCTGATTAGTCATTTTATGGAGTTCCCATAACCAACCTATTCAGGCGTGGTTGACTTCTTTTTAAACCAAAAAAGTATTTTATGAAAATAAAACCTGCTGATGGTTAATCTGATGATGTAGTAAAAAACATGACCCAAAAACTTAAAGTAAGATATATCTTCAACTGCAGGCTTCATGTTCTCAAGATAGAAGTCTTTAAGAAAACTGATCTTCATGTGTTGCAGTATGGAATACGGAATAAATGTAGCTGAGATTTCTTTCATGAGTTATGGTTTCTAATAATCAACACTTCAGCCTTGGAGCCAGCCTTAATGATTATCAACAATCCCCCAGGCCATCACATTAAACTTTCTTAGGTATAATATTTTGTCTGTATGTGTAAAAACTCAAACTAAACAATGAGTTCTGGGTTTTAAAAGACCTGTTTATAGGGCTGGGGATTTTGCTCAGTGGTTCTGCCACCTGTCTTGTAAGTGCAAGGTCCTGAGTTCGATTTCAGGTACCAAACAAACAAAAAACAAAACAAAACAAAACAAATCTGTCTATAGGTCTTTGTCCACAAATTGAACAAACACACACATAAATACTACTGTGGTTGATTTTTTTAACTGAATGAATGGATAGAAAGGAAGTGAGAAGAACGAGAAGGAAGAAGCAGGGAGTAAAAGAAGGGAGGGAAGAAGAAAGGAAAGAAAGAAGGGAAGAAGAAAGGAAAGAAAGAAGGGAAGAAGAAAGAAGTTGGGAGGAGAAAGGGAAAGGAGAGAGGAAAGGAGGAAGTGAGGTCAGTATTTTAAATACTGAATGCAGGTTTGTGAAGCTTGACTGATCATAATTGAAAGATAAGATGAATTTATCCTTTTGATACAATTCTGAAAGGAAGACTGGTGCCTGTATTTTAAAGGATCTCTCTTTATATTGATGCTTCTAATAAAAAAAATTGACTAGGATTGGTTACTTTTCAATTTTTATTTGGAAAGTAGAAGAAAATTATAATGGTGGGAAAAATTTCCTAAGATATTTAGCATTTGGAAGAATAAGGTGTTGGTTAAGGATACAGTGTAAATATAAGTAAAACACTTGAAGAGGAATTAAATTAATTATAGTCTTGAAAGCCTAAGGAGCAAAACACACTAGACTGCTGGGCCTTTTCATGACCAGTAGGTGGCAGCATAAGACAATAAGAGTTTAATTTTTCTGCATGGAGAAATGAGGCAGCAAAGGTCAGTACTGTATATTGTGTTTAAATTCTTACTCCACCTCAGTTTCCTATGCTGGACTATTACCAAAGGTGGAACTCAGCCAAAATTATCTTTAAAGTCTTCCAATAAAATGTTACACATCTCACCAATTTAACAGAAAAACTGAGTGGCTATTTCTAGCATTTTAGGTTAAGCTCTAGTAAAACAAGTTAGTTTGGGGAACTTTGGTTGAGTTTTTGTTCCTTGTTTTTAGCTCAAATATATGTTATCCCACCTTATTCTCACCTTTAAAAACATTTACACATTGCAAAACTGTACTACATACTGTTTGCAAATAAGGATCTCACCTCCACCCATACTTAATCACGGCAAAAATCATTAGTAATGCATGACATCATGACATGAGAGACCATCTATGTACAAACATATACAATTTTATTGATATCTCTACATACTACAAGAATTTTAAGTATAGTCACAATTGCTGAGTGCAACAGAAAAATAGTAATTTTTCATTTTCTGAAAAGATGCAAAAATTCTGAAGATGAAAGAAAGATACATCAATGATGTTATCTGTTTCTTATTTCCTAGAATAAAACATCACATAATTAAGTACTAAAAATTATAGGTTATTAAGAGATTTTGATCCTGTGTACAATTGTCCAAAACTACCACTTTATTTACTTTCTGGCTTTGCAGTTGAAAAGGGTGGGCCAAAACTAGAGGGAAAGTACGAGAAGAGATTACTCTGGATCTTTTGTCACTGTGTGTTTCTGCCTTTGCTAGGCCAACTCTCCCTTTGTGATGGTATTAGCACTCTTTCAGCACACTGGAGGTTGGACAGTAAATTCTAAGCATTTTTCCCTTTAAATACATATCCAATAATGAAGAAAATTGAATCTAAGTGGCCCTGGGAGCTTTTGATTCAAACCACAATAAAAAAGGAACCTGGTACCCACGTCTCTTCCAAAAGAATTACTATTAAAGTTAGACCTAATTTAGTAAATGATGATTTTGAAAATTCTCACTGTCCAAATATTGAGAATTAGTTTTCCACTTAGCTTTCTATGCTGTTGAATTTACTGTGAGATGTATTTCCAGTATCTTGAAATGTCACATCCAAAAGACAATAAAAAATTTATAAGTTGGAGTTGGAATAATTAATGGGTAATTCACATATGAGAACATTGCAGAGTTATTGGGAATTAAAACGGTGCTTACTGGTGAGAAATTCACTCGGACTTTTGTTCTGTGAGAGACATAGAATAAGTACAAATACAGTCAATACTGTTCTTACATCTTGCCTTCCCTGAGCCCAACACACCAGCCAAAGTAGACAAGTATGTCTGCATTAATTGGCCACAAAGAAGTGGTTAGCAACTTTCGTTGGACATTGGAACCACCTTGGAGGCTTTCAAAAAGACTGAAGTCTGCTTTCCATTCCAAGGAATCTTGATATAATTGGGAGTTTTAAAATCTCAAGTGATGTACAGTCAAGGCTGAGAATCACACCTCAAGATAAATACACAATTAAAGGTATCTATCTGTGCTTCCAATCATGTCCCTCCCACCTTAATACTCTTGTACACTGGCACTTCCTCCCCTTTCCCAAATCAGACTGTATCTGTTCTGCATTACTTCTGTTCAGGGATATGTGGTCTGCAAGTACACATACCAAACATTTTATCTGACAACTGTGCTCTCCTTGGAATAGTGCATATTAGAGATAATGCTCAACTTATGTTCACAAAAAATATTTCTAGTACTTGGAGCAGTGTACACATGAAATAGTGCCCAGCCAAAATGGGGTTGGATGGTGAAAACAGGTGAAGGTTACCACATTTCCACTGATGTAGTGAGCAAGTCTTGATATGCTGTGCCCATTTGCTTTGGCATTGTCTTTTCTAAACCAATGTGGTCAGATTACAGTGTTCTTTTTCCCCATGTGGGCCCAGGTTGTTCCAATGTTATTAAGCTAAGGACAGGATTTTTATTTATTTTTCCAAACCTCCTTAATTTCCCCATCTGTGCAAACATTTTATAGCCCTGTACCACAAGTTTCTACCCTAATCTTCCTCAGTCAATCTTGGGCCTAATCTTATTCCTTTTTTCTCTCAACGTCATGTAGATAATGGATAATAGTACCTTTAAAACTGTATATAGAGTCATATAAACATGGAACTTTTCCCTTAAAAACCCTTAAAAACTTTGAAAGTCCTAGATTTTGATTTATTGAGAATCAATTCCAAAAGATTTAAAAAATTGTCTTTATGAATGAAATACCGTAATACATCTCACTCATCTCTGTCCCTCTAAAATCACAGTCAGATAATGACCCTGGTTGTGATTGAGACAGTAAATGTGGGCCTCAACGAAGTATAGGAAGAAAAGTCAGTAGTACTGCTTTTGTAGGGGATTAACATAAATGATAACTCAATCATTCTCCCTCCAAACCCCTAGATAAATGGAAGATTTCACATTTCTCACATTATTATTAGAACAAATAAACAAATAGATTCTCATTGATGAATAGAATGGAAAGGCCATTTTCCACTGGAACACTAAAAAGGGCTTATCTATGAAAGGAGCCATAGGGAAGTAAAGTCAACTTGTCAAGACTGTAGTTTGTAAGCCTTATCTTCTGATGCTACCTTAGCAGATATAATTTTTATGGCAACCAAGGCTCGGTTCATCACCTGCATCATTGTCAATGTTAGGAGATTTTAAAAATATGTTCCAAGATGGTGAAAATAAGAGACGATGCAAAAGATTACACAGATCAGCAGTACTCATTTTCCCAAGATGATGATGATAAAAATAGTAGTGGTGGTGATCTTGTGTTTGTGTGTGTGTGTGTGTGTGTGTGGTAAGGTTAGTGCAATAGAACAGAAATGTTCAAAGAGAAAAATCACATCCACATTAGATTCTTGTTATTGCTGACTCTTTGAATTATAAAAATAATTTTGATACAGTAAAACCTCATTAATTTGGATTCCACTTATCAGGAATTTGTGGGACGAAGTTACCCTTACATTAAGAAAGGGCTTAAGGGCTTATGAAAACAATTTTGTAAGCACATTTAAATCACTTAGATGAACCTGTTCTTTTCAAGCATTTCAAAAGCACCTGTTTACTTCCAAATGATATGCTAACCATAAACTTTTGATCTATGCATTGACGCCAGAGATTTAAGCACTTCTCTTGCAAAAGAGTGTAATATCCTTTTGGTATTTTCTCTGTGTGCTTTAAAATGTTAAATAATAATTTTTCCCTCATTGGTTCATAAACGCTTTCTCCAAAATTGTATTTTATTGCATATGAATCACACATGTAATTTTGGGTGCAATAATTTATCTTGCTAACAGTATGCATTTATGTGAAGTTTTACTCGGGACATATATTACATATTTCACAATCTGTCTCTTTAAAAGATGAATAGTGATTCTCAATTGAGAACAATTTGGGAATGGCAGGAGACATTTTTGATTGTCATTGCTGGGGGTTTCTACTGGCATCTAGTGGATAGAGGCCAAGGATCTTACTAACATCCTGCAATACCGAGGTCAGTCTCCCACAACAGAAAATTTTGTGCTAATAGGGCAACTATTGAGAAACCCTGATATAGAACAAGTTAAATCACTTTGTTTGGCAGAGCTTGAGATAGAACCCAGGGCCTTGTGCATCGTTTGTAAATGCTCTACTACTGAGCTATTCTCTCAGCCCAGAACAAGTTAAATCTTATTGGGCTTCCAGGTATTTATTGAATTTAATGCTACTTTGAGCTGAATTTCATTATTCCTAAAATAAAAGTTTTCACTCTTCTAGGTTATTATTTATTTATTTATTTGGTACCGGGGATCGAACTTGGAACCTTGCGCTTGCGAGGCAGGAGCCGGAACCACTGAGCTAAATCACCGGCCTCTAGGTTATTTTTTAAATGTAGAAATCACACAGTGTTCATTCAGAAAAATTAGAAGACTGGGTCCTTGAGACTGATGGTAGAAAGAGTGCATTGCAATTTGGTTGTCAATGTTTTCCAGATCTGGCTTCAACTTTATGTAATATTTTCACTATATAATTTCATCATATTTGTATTTCCAATCCAGATTCTGAGAGATTTGTGAAGAGGTTTTTTTTTTTTTTTTTTTTTTTTAAGAAGCCAGGTGAATTCAAGAGCTCTGCAAAATGTTGTCCTACTATATATTTTCTGACTGTTTCAATCATCTTTTCTGTTTTCAATATTACTAAGAACATTTTAAAGGAAGCACCACTTTGAACAAAAAAATCTCAAAAACCAAAAATTTTGGCAATGAAAATAACCTGGACTCCACAAAAATGGTGAATTCTTAAGAAACTCAAATGTAAATCCAGTAAGACCTTGATTCATCAAAATTCAGTAAGTCAAACCTATAACATTAAAAAAGATTCTTTTTGAAGGAGCAGCATATTATAAGATGGGCCCTAGAATACATATGTTTTCCTCTGAGTTTTGACTTCCAGAATCATGTTAAGTAGTGCTAGTAGTTGTCTTTATTTTATTCAATCTCTAGTACTTTTCTGTTATGATGGATAACTTTTATCTTACTGGGGATGCTCTACATTTGAGAATTTTTTTTTTTTTTTTTGGTACTGGGGATCGAACTCGGGTCCTTGCACTTGTGAGGCAGGCAGCAGAACTACTGAGCTAAATCCCCAGCCCCTACATTGGAGAATTTTAAGGAATATGTATTTGGTATTTATTGATATAATTTTGTAGCTTATATTAGTTGATTTGATTAATGACAAAATTATTGATTTTGTGTCATTAAACTCTATGTACTTCTGTTGTTCATGATGAGTAAAGCCAAGATAGCAAAACCACATATATGAATATTTTCTATTAATAACTACTGAACTCAAAAGTATTTTCTAATGAAAGCCCTTTTTAATCAGAAATGTAATAAATCAGAATTCATTTCCCAATACATTAACTGAGGTTTTACTGAATCATGCTAAAGAGAATGACCAGTTTGGTCTGTGAATGTCAGCCTGCAAAAGCACCTTGGGACTGTAGACCCTACTGGGTTTGAACAGTAATATACTGTGTAACTGACAGACATGGATACAAATGGAGCTTTAACATATATCACTTTAGAAGCTGAAACTGGGATGCATGAAATTTCACTCTTTGTGAAATTAGTGCTCAAAGCTATCTGCCTTGTTCCAGTAGTCTAGTTCCCCAAATCTATAGCCAATTCCCTTGCTGAGTAAACACCAGGTTGAAAAAAAATGCTTTAAGGGGACACAACCCTGTATGGTTTAATGACTAAAAATAGCAACCCATTCTGAAGGTGAGAGAAATGGCAATAATTGTGTTGGGAATAATTTACAGTACTGGCAATACTTGATTAAGACTGAGAACTGTGAATGGTGTAAAATACAATGGAGAGAGAAAAACATTAATTCTTCTTGTAAGAATTCAATAATGTTCTAAGTACAATGAAGGTTACAGATGAGAAGAAAACTCTGGGTTTTTGTTTTGTTTGCTTTGTTTTTCAGTGGGGTATGGCAAATGTATTTGAGATGCATTGATATCTTCTAATGCAGATTTTTTAAACTGTTGAGTGTGGCTCGATTTATAAAAATAGTTTACCATAAATCTTTTTCTTCTGTCGCACATGCTTTTCTTCTTTTCCTCTTAAGCTGTTAATTTATCATGCAAAGATTTTTTCATTAAGTGCATTAATGCTTTTGTTTGTGCAGGAATTTCAAATCAAAAGGACTCCCCATAGTTTCTAAATTTAAATCTTTAGCAAATCACATGCCAAGATGATAGCTCCATTCCACATGGGAAAAGGTATATTCAGCCATTACCTTGGATTTTAACCAGGGTTCCAGCCTTTGGGTTGTACATTGTCTTTAATAAGTCTCCTTTACAATAACTTCAGTGGACTGTAATGGAACATTTTGTAGAAGAAACTGGCTTCTAGTAGTTGAATAGTGATGCTGGGAATAAATTTGGTCTCCCTGAATAATGATTTCTCAAAGCAGTCACAGCTTCCTTAGAAGTTTAGAATTGGTACCATTTCTTATCCTTATATTTCAGCATTAACTGTAAAGAAAAAAATAGTCACCATAAAATGCTAAAAAAATCTTTAAAAGTGCTAGTCAAAGCAAGCCCATATTGAGATAATAATTTTTAATGAAATTTCAAAACATAATAAAACAGGCTGTCTTATTTTATAAAGTACATATGAGAAAGGTTTTAAAAAATAAGCACTCAATCAAACTATAAAGACTTTTTATAGAGATTTTTTTAATGACTAAGACAAAATGGAGAATGTGGAACCCAGACCCTACTGCCCTTGTTGGAGGGCACACATATTCCACCTACACACCTTGTGTGTAGCAGATACATCAAATAAACCTGCAGATCCAAAGGATAGTTATTTCCTAAAGTAAAAAATATTCATACATTATGGTTAAAAATTATCTCCCCAAACCAGGGAGATTTATAATACTTATAAGACATTCAGGTTACCCTAGCTGTCAAGCATTATATTCATATGGCATCTCTGTTTAAGATTTGTTGTGCAGGACCTATGACTGACTGAAGAGGCCCATATTCACTTAGGTGGTTTACCTCATGTGCGTGTTTGGAAAACGCTTCTGCACTGGTCATCATGCCTGCGGTCTTCTCTTCCAGCTCTCCCAACCTCTGCCCTCTCTCATCCAGCGCAATCCGGGCTCGGGTCAGCTCCCCCATCACCCCTCCAGCAGCACCTTTCATTCCTTCTATACTGCCTGGTCCAGGGATGTGTTGTGCAAGGCTGCGGGATGCTTTTCCTGCTGTGGCTTCTCCAACTAGGAATTCAAGCCATAGCAATGTAAAACATTTTGTCAAAATAATTCAAATAGTCAAGACTGTCACCAAAACAAAATACTTATATTAAATTCTACTGTCATAATTCTCATTAGAAAAGTGACATATTTGGTCTTGTCATATGTATGTGTTGAAGATGTTAGCACTTAGCCAAGAAAAATCCTTAGAAAGAGACTCAAAGAAATACTATTACTACACGGCTTTGGGTATTTGGGTGGGGTGGTTTCCATACAAATAAGGTAACTGCATTTCTTGACATGGTTGAACTGGCATTCACAAGACATAAGCCCTCATGTTTTACCCATTTTAGGATCTGATATTTTGCTTAAATTTCTTGCCAAAGTTTTTATTCCAAACTTTTATGTTCATTTTGATTTATCAGACTTTGTAAGCCTCAGATGTTCTCTTTCTTTCTGTAAATCCTACAGCATGGGGGAATAGGAATACAGTATATAAATAATGGACATTAATACATTAATACATTGAGATTTTGTGACTTCTTAAAAGACTAAAATTTTCCCAATGACCTTCAAAGCTAGTTTCAATCATTTTTAAAAAAGTTTAAAAAATATTAAAACAGCTATCTTACCAGAAATCTAGTAAATATTTCCAACAAAATAACACTGGGATGGAATCAATTTTTTTTGTTTTTTTGAGACAATGGTTCATGTATAGTGCAGGGTGGTCTTGAATTCACTATGTAGTTCAAGGCTGGCCTTTTATTTACAGCTTCCTGAGTGCTGGGATTGGAGGTGTGTGCCACTATACCTGGCTTAGCTTTCTAAATATAAGAGTCTTATTGAGATATAATTCATACACCATAAAGTTTATCCTTTAAAAAGTGTTCAATTCACTGGTTTTTAGTGTAGTCACAAAGTTGTGCAACTATCACCACTTTCTGATTGTAGACTATTTCCATTACACTGAAAAAAAACCCTCATCTTTAGCAGGCACTCTCTATTCTTTCTTTGTCCCAGTCCCAGGACCAATGGCTGGCTTTCAGTCTCTATAGATTTGCCTTTTCTGGACATTCATATAAATGAAATCACATACTATATGGCCTTTGGTGTCTGATCTGATGATTTCTTGTGATGTTTCTGAAGTTCATCCATGTTGTATCATGTATCAGTATTTCTTTTCTTTTTATGGTCAAATAATATTACATTATATCATGGCAGCTAGATCTTTTTGCATATTTAAAAGTTCAAGGGGGCTGGGGATTTAGCTTAGTGGTGCCATGTCTGCCTCACAAGTTCAAGTTCAATCCTCAGTACCGGAAAGAAAAAATTCAAAAGTTCAAGTGGAAGACAGTTTTAATCTGGAAGATCAAATTGTGGTGGCATATTCTGGAAAATATATTGTTATCCTCTCTCTGAAAAATGTTCCCTAGCATCTTCCTTCTACTTTTTGGTTACTGTTCATCAGGGTCTCACTGGTAGATTTTTAGAGTAGTTTATTCTGTGGCACTGATAAACTTTCCATTTTGAATAATCTGTTTCCCAGGAGTGATTATAGACAGACACATAAAAAAATCTCTTTTTCAGACTTTAATAAGTGAATGCCTTCACCTTGCCAGGCAGGTATAATCTACCTACAAATGAGTTAGCTTGCACATTATTTGTTTGGATTATATGTATCATTTTTGTTAAACTCTTTCCTAATATAAAGTGATCAATTTTATTCACGTTTGGTAAGGAGAAATAATTTTCATGGTACAGAAAGCAATATATGTTCAAACCTTAAGACAAGCAAAAAACACCCAGTTTAAAATTTGAGATCACATACTAAATTACAGAGAGAAGAAGAAAGAGAGAGACAGACAGACAGAGAGAGAGGGATGGCGGGAAGGAAGGAAAAGGGAGGGAGGGAAAGAGAAAAAAGAGAGATTGATTTTTATAATCAGGAGTTTACTCACATAGCTCTTCTCTGTCAAATGTTTGTCCACTTCCACCAAAAAGTCCCTTCAGAAATCCTCTATTTTGAGCTTCTGGTGTCTCTATGGGGGTGAACAAATCTCCTAGCATGTCCTGCACAAAATGAAAGGAAAAAAAGCACTGCAACAATTAAGAATAAATTAATAGATAAAAAGGTAACACTGTGGTATATTAGAGCACATCAAGAGAAGACAGTCTGCTTTCCATATCTTTTCCTGGTGATTTTTGCTTTGTTTATAGTTTTCTTTCTAGCATTTCTTTCTCTATCTGTGGTAACTGACATACTAAAACTTTAGTTTTTCTGTTCCTTTTCTCTTCTCTGAAAAGCAGGAGGAAGTAAATATATTCACTTGATTAATTTCTGCTTATGATTAATGACTACTAATTTAGATTTATGAATCTGCTTCAGTTAGTACAGCCTCTTTCCTGCCCTGGTTCCCTTTTCTGAGCCAAGAATGGACTGCCCCAGGAAACAGAAAGCCTTTGGTGGTATGTGTGAGAAAGCTGGACCTATTTTTATATTAAGTATCCATACAATATGGTTCAAGATCATTTAACTGAGTCAAAATAGGCATCTACTGCATGGCAAGATGAATCTTTTCTCAATATTTGGAGAGTTTTGGAATAACTGGGGGAATACCATGTTTCCCCCCAAATAAGACCTACCCAGAAAATAAGCCTTAGCTGGCCATTTCCATGCCTGATGGCCACTATCATGCAGAAGATTGTATCTCACCATTCTCTTGTTTCGTGGCTACTCTGTGGTGGCAGTTAAGGATAGGCTGATTGGTACTGGAATTTTTTTTGGGGGGGGGACTGGAATTTTTAATGTCTAGTTTTTAAAGCTGATTATTTTCCCTGTAGGTCTTATTTTGGGGGAAACATGGTATTTACTTAAAATTCAGATATTCAGGCTACATTCCACAAATACCAAATCAGAAATCTATACAGATGTGCTTTGGATATCTGTATTTTTATCAGATCTTGCTCTACAGGTCTTCAGTATAGGAGGAGGAACTAAGATCAAGAGTTAAGAGAAATTGGTAGGGTCAAAATGAAGAACATATATTGAAAACAGCAAGAAAAGGCATATTTATTGTCTAACCTAATAATAATGTAGCTTTCAGACATCTGTCATTCTTTCTTTGAAAAAACATGTCCAACTAAAAAAAAAACAAATGCATTTGACCTACCTGTAAATTATCACACATTTCTTGGCTGTATGTCAACCGCTGAATTTCAGTAGGAGAGACCAGGTATAATGCCTGTCCTTCATTGGTAAAACAAAATGTCCGTGCTATCCTCATGTCCGTCAGTGGTAAATAATTAACATCCAACATTGGACGAAGACTAGGTAGGCTGAATGAAAAAAAGTAAATCCATATTTTATATTCAAGTTGACAGAAGCATTTCTTCATATAAAAATAGCTTGTTTTGTTTTGTTTCAGTATCGGGGATTGAACCCAGGGTATTTTTTTTTGAGAGTGTCTCACTATGTAGTTCAGGCTGTCCTTGAACTCACTATGTAGCCCAAGCAGGCCTCTAACTCAAGGCAATCCTCCTGCCTCAGCCTTCTGAGTGCTTAGAACTACAAGCGTGTGCCACCATGCCTGGCTGAACCCAGGGTCTTTACACTGAGCTATATCCCAGCCCTTTTTCATTTTTAAATTTTGAGGCAGCATCTGGCTAAGTTGCCCAATTGTGCAGGGTGGGTCGACACTTGTGATCCTCTTGCTTCAGCTTCCCAGAGTACTGGGATTATGGATGTGTGCCACCATGATTCACAGATAGTAAACTTTCAAGCATTATTTTACAGTTCTTATCATTTTCTTGATGAATCCAGTAGTTTAAAAATGGATTTTCAGATAAAATCATACATATGGTACCAAAGAATCACAGGCAAATTTCTTCTATCTTAATCCACACATATACTTAGCAAATGTCCTTGAAGTGTTAAGTGTAGGGGCCAACAATGTCAGGGGGACTTTTTGCATCATTTCACATAGGCTTGAAAATGGCTGTATACTTTGTCCGTTGTCTTTAAAGGCAGAGCTCTTGAGACTGAGGAGGGCATGGAGTGGGTTTTTTTTTTTTTCCCGGTACTGTGGATCGAACTTAAGGCCTTGCGCTTGCAAGGCAGGTGCGGCACCACTGAGCTAAATCCCTGGCACACGGGAGTGGGTTCTTTCACTATGCCTGGAGATGGAATGGATGTGCTCCTCATTCTTTACTCCTTAATTACGTGGGAAATGAAAATTAGCTAGAACTTAGGGCAAAATATAGGTCAGAATGCCCTCTGAGATACTGTTTTTGAGTTAGTTTTACAAACCACTGAAGAAAATCAGTTTCATTGGTTTTAAATCACACCGCTACTACCAAAAGGGGTAAAAGTTGTGATTAAATCTCAAGTTTTGAAACTATTCTACTAATTCTAAGTGTGCACAATGTAATTTTAGATTATCCCAAATCGTAAAACCAAAACCTCAAAAAAGCACTGATTTTTCTTATCAAAATAGTTTGTAGTTAATACTTAGAGCTTGAATTGAGATGTGTTGAAAGCATAAATTATGCTAATTTCAATAAAGAATTATCTGAAATCTGAAAGAGATATTAAAAATGTACCTAACACTTAAGGTTATTAAACCCCTTAAAATATGATCTGAAACAAACTCAGTTAAACAGACTTCCATGACAAATTTAGTCATATTAATGGGTGGGACGGGGGACAGTATCTATGTTCTGTCATATAAATAAGCCTAGAAAAGAAGAGTTTTTAAAAGTGTTAACAATTCAGGTAGGAAAAATGAAAGGGGAAGTCAGTTGCAAGGGGCTAGGAAATAATTGGTCTTAAAATTTAAAAAGTTTTTTTTTTTTCATGCAGGGACACTTTTATAGAGAAGTAGAGTCAGGTAAGTAAAGGTGGTTCTCACTGAAAGTGGCTCCTATGTTTGAGAATTAATATATAGATAAGCCTTTTATATCCTTCTCCATTTTCTAATTTGCTTTTCAAGGTCTGGGTACATTAGCACCTGAACAAGCAATCATAAGCTATCTATCAGAAAGCAGGACTTTAGGAGATTGGGCTCAGGACAGTTGTCTGGAAAGATCTTGGGCATATCTCCCTCACGGAAAAATGGAGAAGGCCAGAAACAGGCAGATTTTTTGGATTCAGCTCCTTAAGCCACACAGAAGAGTATATATCATTATTTCTTAGCCATATTTTATATAATACAAAAATTATATCAAAATGATTTATTTGTCAAATATTTTTAAGGATTCTCAGGGATACAAATTTCTGTTATAATGTCAAAGTAATAAGGGTAATGTAAAGCAGCTTTTACAAAGGGCAAAGGAAGAATGAGATATTATTTTACCAAGGACCCCAAATGTTTTAAAAACTCTCATTTGAAAACATTTTTTTCAAGAAATCTCTCATGTAATAAATGTAGATAGTGGCACATATTCATTTAAATAGAAGTTAATTTGGGACAAGGAATACTAAAATTTATATCAAGCTGAAACTCCAATTTGATATAATAGTTTAATATAAAAAGAATTTTGAGAGACCAAATGTGAGCTTACACACTTTTCTCCCTCCAAAATGCAAGCATGTCTAGGAAGAAGTTAAATCATCATTTTCAAATAAGACTGAATAACCTTTACTGGAAATCTATACAAATAGTTTCAGAAATGGAAAATCAGATACAAAGAATCAGAAATATATAAAAGAATGAACATACCATTAACTGATTTTATTTTTTCAAAACCTGCTTCTCACTAACTAGTTCCCCTTGGCTTAAAAATCTGTTTATGTATCCCCAGTTAAAATATATTAAAAATAAAATTGTGTCCAGACCCTAGATTTACCTTTGAACAACTTTCCTGTCTGTCATCTCTCTTTTTACTACAAGATTTTCTGAAAGAATAATGTATGCCAGGGGCACGGGACCAGGTGGTTTTAGGCTTTGTGGGTCAGATAGTCTCTGTTGCAAATACTCAACCCTGCTCTGAAGTGGCTGTGTTCCAAAAGACTTTCTTTATTAACATTCGTATTTCATAGAATTTTCACATATCATGAATTATTCTTCTTTGATTTATTTCAACCATTTAAAAAAGTACAAACAATTCTTGATTTGAAGGCTATACAAAATTAGACAGTGGCCGAGGGTAGATTTGGTTCATGGCTTATTGTTTGCCAACCCTGATCTCTACTCTTGCCCCCTTGAAAATTTGTTTTGACTCCACCATGCTGTTAAGGTTCACTTTCTCAAATATCGTTAATATCCAAATAGTTGTGAGATCTAGTGTTTTTTCTTGTACCCCAATTTTCCAACCTCTCTGCTAGATTTGATCACCTCCTTTGTTTTGATACTTGTTTGTCCTTTTTATTTCATGAGGTCCTTTTCTTATTTTTCTGATAACTTCTCTGTTTCCTTTGCTGGATCCTCTTCTTTTTCCCATTGTATAAATGTGGAGATAGCCCCACATTTCTATCTTCAGCTCAATCTATTTATAATTTCTTTTTGTTCTACCCTTATTTAAAAGGTGTTGGGGATCTAAGGACCTTGCTCATGTTAGGCAAGTGCTCTACCACTGAGCCACATCTCCTGCGTCAATATACTGTCATTTACTAGTATCTCAGTCACTGTCATAACTTTTCCTAATGTATTTACATAGAAGGCTCCCAAAGCTAGATCTTTTATTTACATTTTTTAAAGAGCCCAGACCTTAAATTGTTTGCCAAACTTTTGCTGGATGACTTATATATTACAAAAATAAGCAATTAATTCAATTAATTAATTCAATTAATTCTCAAATTTATCAGATTTTCCAAATTCTCCTGGCTTTCCTATACGCTAATAGCATTACAGTTATCAAAATTGAAAAAATGTAACCTTCAAGTTCTCTTCTAACCCCAAGATTTAGCAGTCTCAGTTACCCATCACAGTTAATCAGCTTTGCATGTTTCCCTCCATAATTTCTCACCTTGTTCCCTCCTTGTCTTCTATATAGTTATTACAGTATTTAGTTCAAAAGCCAAACCCAAGCTCTTCCTCCTTGTTATTTCCTAGTGCATAGCTAGAGAAGGCTAACTACCTACCTTAACATTCCATTTCTTTTATCTCTTAGCCTGTAATTCAAGGTCCTCAACAATTTACCTCCATATCTCTCCAGGTTACTTCCCTCCCAACATCATTTTATGATACATGTTTAACTATCTTATGATTTTAATCCCTGGGGACTTTTTCAATAGAAAATTCAATTCATAGTTCCTCTGTTGGAATTTGTATTATCTTTATGTTATAATTACTTATGTACCTGTCTCATATCTCCAATTAGTATGCTTAAGGGTTAGGACCATGTTTTACTAATTTTTATATCCTTTATAGGATTACTACAATGGTTAACTGTTTCAATGATTTTGGAAGGAAGATATTAAAAAGAATGACAAGGCTTATACATACTATCCATATATTAACTATTTGCTGAATTCATGAAATATGTAATATTTTTATGTCTCACTAAGAGTAAAATAAAATCCTTCAGTTGATACCTTAGTTTTAAAAAATGTATGATGATGTTTTGTATACTGTTCAGTGCTGGTCTCACTTTCCTAGACTGGCAACTTCAGGAAAGTTATTTTACATGAATTTATTAACATTTGTGAAATAGAAGATGCAAACAATACTTTATTTTTCTATGTCCTAAAGAAGATATAAAGGCCAAATGAAATTCTGTGTATAAAATTCTAACATGAACTATGAAACATAGTAAAAGTGACAGATAACTTCATTTTATTATAATTTAGTCATCTTTTATGATTACCAGATAATTGATAAAGAAGGCAATTACCTCATTATCATGATATGCCCATTAGCACAAAAGCATGCCAAGCAGGCACTGTTACACATGACCACCACATCGGCTTGCAGTATAAAAGATGTCTCAGTGATGTTATGAACGTAAAGGCAAGTCTGAGAAGGCAGTGAGAAGACTTTGGCTTGTTTTTCTGAGCAGATTATTGTATACTGATGATCTCCTACTTCTTGGGATGAAGATGAGGAATTCAAGACCAATTTCCTTCTCCAAGATTTTTCATTTTCATCTGTATTGTTTGGATCCCTCCAAACTTCATATGGTGGTTGCATTAATCCACCAGTTCGGTCCATACAAGAAAATGTTAGCACAGCTCCTTTCAATGACAGGAATGTACCTATAAAAATAATTTTATATTACTGGCACATAAAATTCTTTCTAAAACAAGTGTTATTCATCAATAGGCAATACATGTTTTACCTTATAATTTATATATATAGCACCATACCATTGCACTAATATGCACAAATCAGTGGTTTCATTGTAATAACTTTTAATCAAAGCATCAGGTCTAAAAGGAGCCTAAGAGATCAACTTTTTAAATTTTCTCATTCTATTAATGGGAAAACACCCCAAAAGATGATAACATGGTTCAGATTATATAGTAAGTGGCTGAACATGGACTAGTACTCAGGTTTCCTGATTCCTAATCCAGGATTCTTTAATTGTTTGTTCTATATATTCTTTAAAAAACTTCAGGGGCAATTTTAAGAAAATATATAACTTTTACTTATTAAAATATTTTC